GAGTGGAATTTACTCTGTAACAACCACGTAACAAGGCACTCCCCCCTCCCCCCCTCACGTCGACGGAAACATTCATTCTACGGCGTTGCCCCTAGCAACTACGCGCGATCAATACGGCCTGCTGGCAATTCATTCTACGGCGTTGCCCCTAGCAACCACGCGCGATCAATACGGCCTGCTGGCCATTCATTCTACGGTGTTGCCTTAGCAACAACGCGCGATCAATACGGCCTGCTGGCCGGGCGAGCTGAGCAGTCAAAGATGGCGGCCCGCCCACGCCGCAACGTGCTGCTGGGATACCGCTATGTCACGGGCACCCACGCCGGCTGGTTAGGGGATTAACACCACCTTCCCCAATTAGCGGCGCGTGCGTGCCGTGATTAGTGGTGCCGGCCCTAGCATGGAGGCGAGACCTGGTGACGCCCCGCGGCTAATGCGATGCGACTTTAGAGCCGCTCAACCGTGAGGTGTCACCGGGTGGTGGGATTAGCTGGATTAGATGCGCTAAACGCACCGTGAAAAGCTATTAATGCCTGGGACGGCGGCCATGTTGGGCACGCGTGACGCGTTCGTGCGGATAGACGGCGCCACCTCCTGGACGGTGCTGCTGCGGAATAGCGGGTCTCCCCGTTAGGGGCCGCCACCATCCAGGGCAAAGGTGGTGAAGCCAAGCGGAAGCCAAGCGAACGCGGATGAGACGGACGCGGTGGTTGGTGCGCGCAGCACGTGGGTGAACATGCACCGCGCGCGTGGCAGCGCCTATAAAAGCTGCTGCACGAGCAGAAATCGAGGAATGCTCTCCTAACTCCAGACGCGATCGCCTGTGAACTTGTATACGTGAAGCAATAGCGAAATTCAGTCAGCATTAAACAACATCAGTCATGGTATATATTCTTTGACTTCTCTTTGTCTATGTCTTTTGGCTACGAGTACGACATCATAATATACAACTGTATCGTAACGTAAAACTCTGCGTTACAACTCTACTTACATATATCTACACACTAGCGGTTAAGATTTGTGCCCAACTGTTGACGGACGGACGGACGCACGGACGGACGGACGCACGATCATGCGATTCTACAAGCTGCATCTGACTATGTCAGATGAGCTAATAATAATAATAGTAATAATATCAATAATAATAATCTAATAGCATTAGATCAGTTCCGGTGCATAGACCACCATTGCATCTACCAGCATCTATGTCTTGGCCCAAAAAAGTTCTGCTACACTGCCTCCAGATGGCGCCACTACCTGGTACACGGTGTGAAGTTCGCTGGAGAGGACGAAGCATCGTCTTGCTCGCTGCAGCTGCGCAAACACGCTGATCGCCTCGTCCGGCGACAGCGCCGACGCCAACACAGCACAGCCAAACTGCGTCGGAATGTAACGAGTCTCTGTAAGCAGACGAAGAAGATGCGGTGTCGGTACCGCCAGCCAAGAGGCTCGAGCTACATGGATACAATGCGCGTGAGCGAATAAAACTGCGCATGCTTGGAGATCGTTCCTAACTTCCTTCCTTGGAAGACGGTCAAGCCAGATGTGGTTGCACGTGTTTTTCGCTTGTGCTTGTCAACACTGCTGCACTTCGTTGCTAAGTGTTGTCTTTACAGTGTTTCTATTGCAGCTATCGTCGGTTCGAATTAGCTTGTGTACATGAGTATATACTTGTGCATACTGAGTGTGCACAAGAAGAACAGACAAATACAGTGATTACAGTACAGATCAGTATAAACAGTGCGGAACACCACTGCAGTTATATTATATCAGGGGTAAACAATCTCATAATTTGTAATTATTTACCCCCGATTATATATATATGTATATATATACATATTGATTTATTATATTATATTATCATATTGTGGTTCATTACCTCCGTCCACATCCTGCAGTCGTATAAACTCGCTCTCCGTCAGGAATTCCACGCAGCTCGCGATGGCGCCATCTGTCTGCGATGCCTCGTCTCCCAGAGAAATAGCGAGCAATGTGCATGCAGCATACCTCTCCACTTCTCCTGGACTGCTAGCTACACCACTCACTATGACCTACGCGAAAGAAAGTTAACGGTCGGAAACAAAACACACAAAAACTAGTTTTCAGAAACAATTAAATAAACAAGACAAAAGTCTTGGCATTAGTCTTAACATTAACTTTTTCTTAGATACTGGACTTCTATATGCTGCGTACGAGAAACTTCTGTCACCGGTCTATGAGAAAAAGTCTATGTTAAGACTAATGTTAGGACTAAATTTGTTTATGACAATGGGCCCCTGGGAGAAAGATGAGCCTGATAGCACAGTAGCAAGTAGCCTGGTAGCAAGTATAGCCTGAGCACAGATAGGACACAAGCATTGCGCACTTTCAATAAAAAAACACTTCTCCCCACTGAGTCAAACAAAATTCCACAGTCTACCAACACACCAACACACTTGTAGGGTAGTATACATCCGACCTACAGCAAAACGTCCCATCTCTACATTGCGCACAGGCGCAATAAAGGTCAAATCCTCACACCCATGCACAATGCACCCTGCTGCACATGCCCATGCCCATGCGTGCACAATGTAGATGGGGTATTTGCCGTAGGTGGGATGTATACCAACCCTATACAGGTGTCAGTGTGTGTGTGTGTAAACTGTGGAAATGCTGGTCGATGTTGATAGTTGAATATCTCTCTCCAGGTTCACCAGAGAGGGGTAGGTTGTCCACCATGCTACACCAGCACCTGGTTACCATAGCAGGGTTTCTTATACAGAAGAGGCACAGTGGCGCACCGCCGTTGTCAAATTTAACATCGCCGTTATAGAAAATGAAAAAGTAAATATAAAGTTATATCAATTTAACATATCCCGTGCTGGGGGAGACCCCCCCCCCCGTGAAAGGGGGAGTTCCCCCTCTCCCTCTCTCCCCCCGCGTCCGCCTGCAGCTTCCGCCTGCGTGTCTACAGCACGCCTTTGAATCCATCATGCGTGTTTTTTTCCCAAACTATCCATTACCTCCTTTGTCAAATTTTTCCTCAGAAGAAACCCTGCACAGCAACTACGCAACTACACCAGCACCTGGTTGCCATGGTAACTACGCGTTTCTCTCGCACGCTCGCGTGCTAACCTCGAGTATGGCTCGCTTCATGCTAAAGCAGCACCTGGTTACCATGGTAACTACGCGTGCTTCTCGCGCGTGTGTGGCTAACCTCGAGTATGACTCGCTTCATGCTACAGCAACACCTGGTTACCATAGCAACCACGCGTGGCTAACCTCAAGTATGGCTCGCTTCATGCTACAGCAGCACCTGGTTGCCATAGCAACCATGCGTGGCTAACCTCGAGTATGGCTCGCTTCATGCTGCCACTGAGTGAGTCGCCGGCGTGTCTGCGGACGAGGCAGCTGCGCACGGGGTTCAGTTGTGACCTGAGGAGTACCTGAGCCTTCGCTCGCTCGCTCTCCTTACACACCAGTATGCTCTCTCCTTCGCAGAGTAAACACGGATTATATGACATGAGAGACATGAATGACATATAGATCAACAATCAATCATTAATCATCAATTCAATCACACCAGTATGCTCTCTCCTTCGCAGAGTAAACAAGGATTATACGACATGAGAGACATGAATGACATCAAGAGCGTATTAAGAAAGAGAGCGTACAACGGTGAAATGCTGAAACCATGGTGCAGTATTAGTCAAATTAAGAAACTTTGCCCGTTTTATTTTGACTTGATTTTTTGAGGTAGTATTGATCAGCTGTCCTACCTTACTAATATAAAACAAACCGCTTGTCCCTACGATGCTCCTACGCTGAGATAATGAGTGGTGAAAATCTGGTATTTTTGCCGAAAACCGACTCAAGATCTCTGTTAGCTGCGACCCTCTCTCGTTTTGTGGCCAGTATGTTGCTTCCGGTCGCCACTGTGTAGCGCCATGGTAGCGCTGACTCATTACGTCAGTACTACAGAGATTACTACACATCCAGCGTGAGGTGGGCACAGGTGGGGATCATCACCATGGCAATCAATAACAGACGTCATTCATTCCATTTGTCAATCATTGACGAAAACACGCGAGGTTTCCCGAAGCTATCTCAAAGCGAGAGAAGGTCGCAGCTAACAGGGATCTCGAGTCAGTTTTCGGCAAAAATACCAGATTTTCACCGCTCATTATCTCAGCGTAGGAGCATCGTAGAGACAGGCGGTTTGTTTTATATTAGTAAGGTAGGACAGCTGCTGATCAATACTACCGCAAAGAATAGTCAAAATAAAACGG